CACCTACTTTAAAAAAGCTCTGCATAATAATGATTAATGGTAATTTCAATTGTGCCCATTTTCATAAGAAATTTGGTGCAGTACTCTTTTCACTGATGTTAAAGCAAAAGAGAAATGGTGAAGGCTTTTTTTTCAATTTTTCATTCAAAAAAGATTATCTGAAACCAGTTTGCAGAAAGTTAAAAAGAAACTTTGATGAAATAATGCAGATAATGCATCTATTCTGAAGGAAAATGTTTTTTTAAGCATCTTGATTTAAAATGATGTTTTCACTTGAAAAAATGTATAAAGCTTGAAGGAGTCATCATGGCACAAAGTGATAGTTTCTACTCAGGAAAATGGTATCAATCTATACAAACAAGGGTACACATATTATGGGCGGAGCCAATAGTGCCTGCATAGACAACACCCACTGTTAGCCAGAACTGATTTTATTTTTTTTCAAACACACCAATTCTGCCTATTTTACCACCATAATTTAATGATGTGGAGAAGCCACAGTTTACTTTATGTGTAGAAAAGAAGGGGGCTAAGTTTGAAAGAGACAAGATGACTATATTGCTCATGAAGAATTGAATTTCAACCACCTTGGTTTTCATTTTGAGATTATGCTGTCAGGGAAATTTTTAGTGGTAGAAGTAATGTATTGCTTTTCACTTTTTTCTTTAGTTGCTTAATATTTAAGCTTTGCTCCATGTTACCTTTTATGTCCATATATTATGTCACTATGCCTCCTTTATTTGGTAGACTTGAATAAGGAAAATTATTAAACTTTTACAGTTTTGCCTGAAGTTAAATATTCAAGAATTGTTGTGTACCATGTTTTGAAATAAAACGTTGATTTGTTCTTTCTGCACTTTTAAAAAGCTATCCCAAGCAATGTTGCTGTCTCTTCATCTGTTCGTTTCTTTGACAGTAAAAGATTAATGAAAGTTGTAATATTAAGCAGAGATAGCTAACAGCAATTCCAACAGAAGACAATGGCTTTCTAAACAGTGTAGATTACACCACTTCTAGAGTTTATAATTTTTCAGAACAGGTAAGGGGGGGGTATTCCCTCCACTGCCACTGAATCTAGTGAAATCATTCTGCAGAATACAACATGCCTCCTCACTTTTAAATAGATGGTATTACTTTCCTTCTTATCCTCCAGTCTACCTTGCTTATAGTTTTAATTTAATTTGTCTCAGTGGTAAGTGGTTAAGCCATTGAAGGGCTAGACATCTTGAAAACTTTGGTAAAACACTGTGGATTGCTTCTCAGTGCTGTCCAATACCAATCTTATTGAGAGTCCAGGTGGTCTTCTATTGCCAAGCTCTGGAAATTATTCAAGTCCCACCCAGAATCCACCTGAATCAATAAAGCACCTGGAATAGGCAGTATGAATGCTCCTTCACCCCACAGAAGTCATGGACAGCCATGTTATCTTGGCCAGGAAATGATCTGATCAGGCAAAGAACTAAATGTTATATTCTCCATATGCAGATCTCTGAACAACTGTTCTGAAGTTTTGTCAATGTATCAGGCCTGAGATTACAAGGGACAAGCTGATGGTGCCTGGAGGTCACTCCCAAATCTGCCCAGATCCAACAAGACATGGCATCTGAAATTGCCCAGTATCAATAAGCAAAACAACTCCAATGCCAACAAGTTCGGGTCCAGAAATCATTGAAAGATTATGCTGATCAGCCAGCAGGATACTTAACTTGTTCTTACAGCTCAGTGTAATAAATTGGCATTAACATTTGCACTGTATTTTTATAGATCAATCCCACTACTCCCAGATACTGGTTGATAAACAACATGAAACAATAGAACGAATCTCCAAAAGAACAACATTGGTGCCCTTGCCCAGAGAGGTCCAGGTAAAACACATGAGTTCATCCTCAATCAAGCTACAGATAAGCACAGGCTTATTAAAAATGCCTCATTAATGTTACGATCAACTTAAGGCCAAGAGCATTAACAACCCAGCTGCCAAAAGCTAAATGAGGGGCCACTGTGCCAGAAGTGGAGATTATCAGCAATTTCTCCCCTAGAACAGCAACTCTAGCATCCCGCATCATATCTTCCCCAATCTGTCACTAATAGGATCACATTACTCTCTCCACTTCTATTCCCTTAATCCAAGACCACCAACTAATTTTAATCATCCTACTCAAACAATCCACCAGTCACATGTGGAGATCAATAGTCTGGTAACATCACTTATACTCATTTGTGCCCAATTCACTACTTTTTTCCCACCATCTAGCACTTCTTGGGAATCTTTAATTTCCAGATTACCATCTCACTACTACTTTGAGAGAATCCTGCCTCTTCCAGCAATCTCAATCAGGTGGATCACCTATCCATTCAAACCCAGTGAATTTTTGTATGCAAAGGCAGCATTTACTTTAAAAATATAATGTAGGTGAAAATCGGGCACCACTAAGTATCATGAGACTCTGTCTTCTAAGGGTTCATCCAAAAATGTTCAGTACCTTGGCCAGACAAAATACCTCTCTTTGTACTAAATCCCAGATTGTGAAGGCAGTAATCTGTGTTGTGACTTTCAGGCCCACCTAGGGAGAAATAATAGGAATTTCCATTCCCAACTCCAGCACCTTCTAACTGACAAATAGTAGCACATATTAATGTGCCATTGATGTTCTTGGTCTCTTCTATTTACTGCTAATACTAGACTGTTGGACAATTCTTAAATTCCCTGTCCAATTGCCACTTCATCAAAAATACCCTGTATCTTCAACCACTAGTAATTGCAGGTCTGCTGGTAATGAGCTTCTCAGGTACTTCCCAGGTCCATCTTTGTCTCTCCTTAAAAACAACTTTAAAAGATAGTGTGTAATGGCTATCATATCACACATCTCTCAAGCAATGCCAACATCTCTGCTCCTGTATATTTTTACACCGAGCAGTCATATAATCATCTTTACAGTCCCCACTCCAATATGAAGCAGGTCAACTGAAAATATTTGCACATTCCAGCAGAGCCAACAGATCTTGATGATAGGGAAATGTCACTATAGGTGTAAAACAGCTTCTAATTATAATCTGTCAGTCATGTTTCCTTCGTTAACCTTAACCTATCCTAATTCATGCAGCTCCTTTCAAACTCTCTCCTAACACGCTTAAACTATTTTCTTCCAACCAATATAACGAAAATTTAAGCCAATTAAACCAAAACCACACACACCATCTCTTACCATAAATGCCATCTTGAACAAAAATGCATATACATGTTTAGGCAATTATAATCAGAAATTATGTTTTAATGAATCCCTATATGAAAAGAAGCTAATACAACCTCTACATAATAAAATTAAACATACTGTATTACCTTTCCATTAATTTTGAACATTTTTTTCTAGATTCAAAGCAAGTTAATAGAGAATGCAGCAACCACCAAAGTCTTATTTTAAAACTCTTCCTTCCATATACTTCTGTAGCCAGCTAATAGTCTATTACAAACTTGGCATTTTTTTCTCATTCTTCCTTGAAGCTTCAAGCTGAAACTAATTATTTATAATTCTCTTTGTATGCACTCCCTGGGTGGGCCTGAAAGTCACAACACAGAATGCTGCCTTCACAATCAGGTATATTGTCTAGCCAAGGTACTGAACATTTTTGGATGAACCCTTAGATCTTTCAGACTTTCAAGTCTGGAAATACTTACAGGTGTTTGTCCTGCTCAATTACCTAGCTTCTTTTCAAATTCAGTTATTTCATTAACTATGGACAACAATTTCTAGGGATCTTCGTATTTGGTTTAACCTCTTCATTCTTCCAATCACAAAATGCTTCCTTTGTCAGTGGCTGCCATATAATTCCAGAGCATAACAGAGAGACCCTATGCTAACCATTCTGAAATGTTTCTTTTTCTCCAATTTTTTCACCTCTTTTTCCTCTTTGTGATTGTGGCTGAAGATTTCAATTTTTGTTTCATCAGCCCAAAACATGTTTTCCAAAATGTTTCAGGTTCATCAAGGATTTCTAGATAATTATTTCTGAGATGTGGTTAAAGAAAAGGCTTTATTTTACCAGCTCCCCCATGCAATTGACATAAACAACTCTATTTGTGAACCATGAAATACTTTTTAGAAACAAATATAAACATTTTAGAATTCTTGAGCTTGAGTATTATTAAAAATATGTGGGGCGATCTCAAATAAACAGCATGTGGGAGAAAATACAATAATCTTTTCAACTAAAACTGTTCTGCATGGAAGAATAAGAAAAATTCCAAAAGCAAGAACAGAAAGACCCAGTTAGCTACAGGAAATATTTGGAAGCTGTTATTCTTGCCAAAGATATTACAAAGTACTAATAGAAAGGATATATACATGTTTCATGTGCCATATTCACTGCTTTCTTACTCTGAATATGTTACAATTCCATATAAATGCTAAGTATGTATTCAAATTTGCAAAAAGATGTTTTAATCATGTAGAATTTCAATCAGCTCCACTTAGGGATTCAATGCTTAAATTATTGTTTACAACTCTCTGTGATAAGATTTTTGAATCTGAAAGAAACAATGTGGCTATGAATTGACAAACAACTCATATAGGAAGAACTCAGAAATAAATGCACTGTATTTTCTTTTTCTTTGATCAAAACAGTCTATCTTGAAGTCTTACTGAAATGAAGGCTGTGTAGTAATAATGTTTGAACACCATTGGTGAATAATGGTGTCTGGTACAAATTATACAACTGCATACCTTTCCTTAAAGATGAAACAAAATATAATAAAAGCATATTTAAACACCATAATATACTGTTTATGATACTGGTAGAAATTACAACAAGTTGTCTATATCTTCTGCAAGAAAAGACACATTTTGTGGAAATCAGTCCAATAAAGATAAAGGGTTTAGTAGACATATCCAAGCAGGGATAGGTAGCTTGCTTTATAACTAGAGAATGTTACAAATAAACTAACATATCTTTTGGTGATCAAGAACTTGAATTGTTTTACCAGACACCCACTCATTTTGGGAGGATTTACAAAATAAATAAATAAATTAAATAGATGTATTTAAAAGCCCATCAATGTGTCTTCTAAAAAAGCATAAAATAAAATAAAATCACCTAGGGAGGGGAGCTTGGAGTAGTTATGCAGGTGCTAATAACCACTTTCCCTCATTCAAGAGAATTTATGCTGTTATGCAACATTTAACACTGAAAAGGCTACTTTGAATTAAAAGACAGGCACTAATACCATGAATGATTTATTAATCTGTAAGGTAAAAGTAGATTCTCTAAATAGAGAAACACTTCTCTGCCCGTCAAAGAGACTTACAAACTTCACAAATGATGAAATGATAGTACTATGGCTACAGGCTTAGACGCACTGACATTTTTCTAACTTGCAAAGCGTTAACCCCCACCCTCCTCAGATGGAAGGTGCAGTGCCCAAAGTGCATGAAACATCACTGCAAAGGTCAAATAACAGTCTTCTTCTGCCCACCTCTTTTGAAAGAATCTCACACACACATACACAATGCATAGATCTCAGTTCAAATCCTCCCAGTTTAAAGAATGATGTTATGCATTAAATGTTTACTCATCCTTTTTGCATTCACCGAAACCACATCACTATTAAGCCTCAAAGCCCAAAATTTTGCCACATGCAATTTGGGCTAGTGTTATCGGTTGTTATTATTTGGATTTTGAACAAAGTTGATAGAATAGGAGCCAGTTGAGGAATCTTGCTTCACTTGGAAGTTTTCCGTTGATAAGCCAAATGGACGGAGAACCAGGTTCCCAAGATCCTTCAGCTTGCCTGCAATACACATGCATAAAAAGATTCACACCATCAACTACATTTAAAAATTATCACAATAATGGAAAGAATGTCTTCCGACAATGATACTTACAGAAGGAGGAAGTCTTAAAAAGGCTGTTAAGAATTCTGTTCAAGAAATGCCAACATAAGGATGATATTCTTTATATCCTCCACTTTCAACAGTAGACAGTCATTTTAAGAGACTCCAGGGGGAAAGATGCTACATGTCCAAAATTTGCTCCACCATTATGTATTTATTACGTGCAGTTTTCCCCTTTGAATTTACATTTCCACTAGTACTACTCCTTTGGGTTTCATAATGCCCACAGCATGTTTTTGACAGACCAGAGGTAAACAGAACACCTGCTTTTCCACAAGACTTTTTAATCACAATTATTTAGAGCTACTGTGTTCATCCTCAATTCTAGACTCCTTAGTTAACGTTTTTATTTTAAAAAGGGTGAGAAGAACCCATGCTGCCCTCTAACATAGTACTGCAATTAGACCGTACAAAGTTTATGAAGAATTGAAAGAATTGAAGCAGCCCAGATTAAGCCCTGCCTTAAGGCCATGAAAAACAAAATCGAAAGTAAGCATGTGGATGAACGATAAGAGAACAAAGATTGAGCTGGGCAAGCCTTCGCTTTGCTTCACAAACCATTTGAGTTTGGATAAACTGAAATCAGCTGTTCACAAAGAGTATGATTCAGTACAAGCATAAAACTGGCATAAAACTCAGCCCTATTGCTTTGAAAAAAAATTCTTTAAATACCAGTCTCACTATTATTTAACTATAAGAGCATGTTGAAACTAAAATCCAGCTTAAAATTACACAGCTACTAGTATTTTTTTTCAATTTCAGAAAAAAACATTGTTCTATCGTGTTTTGAACCATTCAAAAAATGACCTGGAGAACCTCATGAGACTTAAACTAAGGAAGGACCTATCTCTTCTGGGCCAGTCATTTGCTGTTTCCAGGGCAGCCCCGCAGGCCAGATCTAAGCATTCCACAGGCCGGATCTGACCCCCGGGCCTTGAGTTTGAGACCCCTGCGCTACATTATTACATCCGACATTTTGGGAAAGACCTTGATGTGTATGAAGGTCAACACTAGTTAAAAAACTGGCAACTGTGACTTCACGTTGTTATGAACAAATTTTACTATTTTCTAAGGACTATAACAATATCACCATCACAATTGGCTCAATGAGAACAATAGTTGCCTTTTATACCCAGATGCTAGATATAACTTAACATCAATAAAATCTGCAACCAGCCTCTGTATCCAGTCTATTATTCCTATCTTCAGAATGACTTCAAGCTGTAGATCCCATGGTAGAAGCAATTTTGCTGTTTGCTTTAATATAAAAGTTTGTTTCTTACAGCCAAAATGAGTAATCTGTATTTCTACTGTGGCAGTAGTCAGGGTGTTTCTATTTTTGTAGCTGTAGAGATCAGGGTGACCTAGCTCCAACAGTTTTTTAATGATCCGACAAGATAAATGTACACAAATCCTTTCTTTTCAAACATGGCAGAATCTGAAACAAGTCCGTGATACTATGGAATTCTACAAAGTCTATAGAAAAGGCAATTTTAAAAAGTCACAACACTATGCATATCCCGTTAGAGAAACCATTCTCCTGCATTAGCAAACTATATACAAAATTTACTTACCTAACATCTCAGCCTTAAGTTTTTCATTACGTTCCTCTATTTCTTTTGGCAATCTCTAAAAACAAAAGCAAACAGAAGACCAATTCCAAAAACATATTAAGCAACTTTATTTATTCTTTATCCAGTGTGCAGATTGATGCATCACTTGATGATGAAAAACTGCTTGCTAACCTAGGCCATTATCTGATCTATTAGAGACACATGCATACCTGTCAAACAGTGAATTTGCTTTCATCTAAATAAGAGAAATAGCTCAGTGGATGCAATTTTGGGCTTCCAAATCCAAGACATACCCATCATACAACTACAGATTTTCTTTCAAGTCATATAATTCAGAGACATAGAGAGCCCCTTCACAATAGCATTTAAGGAACTTCAAAGGTATTATTAAAGCCTATGGCTAGTTGTTGATGATGTTATGCAAAGAGTGGAACATCTTTATGATACTCTTTCCAAAGAACATTCTGATTTTATGATTTTTCCATATTTTAGACAACTCTCCACACCAGCGCGTTTTAAAGGGGCTATTAAAACCACACATTGCTACAATTAAAAACCAAATTAAAATTAAATTTTTTTGGAGGGGACCAAAAAGCTACAGCTTTATCATCTGTTCTGAGAATCTGATAGCAAATGCTCTTCAAAAAGTCACAAAAACAAGTAAGGAAAGAAAGAAAAAAATTAAAATGTCCTTTTGTTCCCTCCATAGCAGATTTTTCCCACACTTTAACTCTAAAGCTATGTTTGCTCATATCTGAAGTAAAAGCTGTAATTCAAGAATAATTCATCTCATATAACCAGTGATGGGATACAAATAGTTTAACAACCAGTTCTCTGCCCTAATGACTAGCTGGGTAGGTGTGGCCAGGTGATCATGTTACTGGGTGGGCGTGGCCAACTCAACATCACTCATCATACCCAGCCATGTCTCCTTGGGCCTATATGCAACACCTCCAGAAATGAAAGGGTTAACCAACTCTCAGTTTCTTAGTGCAAGTGCCTCCACCCACAGTGAAAGGATGGGGAGAGACCAGCAAAGCATTCTGCTCCCATCACCAACGAAAGTAAGACATTGGAGGCTGAGCTTATTAAAAAGCAACATATTGTATCATAATAGCCAACATTTCACACCTGGCAGAGGCAACAAATCCCATTGATTCCTCAGAAGCAATTTACAATTAAAGCCCATTTGCAACCCAAAAATAATAAATAAATAGCAGAAGGAGAAGAATTGACAATACTTCTGTGCAGGCAATTCTGAAAGAAACTAAGCTAAAACTGGATTAACTCCTTCCTTCCTTCCATCTCCTCATTACCATCTCCTTCCTTCCTTTTTTGACCTGTTTTTGAGCATTTTCCGGGTCATTTTCTGGACATTTTTCGGGCTGTTTTTAACCCCATTTTAGGCCTTTTGGGGGCAGTTTATTGTCTGTTTTTGGGCTGTTTTCGCCTAAAAAAGGTCTGAAAAAGGCCCAGAAAATGGTCTGGGAAACAGCCTGAAAACCGGCCTGGAAAATGGCCCCCAAAAGGCTGGAAAATGGGTGGGGGTGGGGCCAGCCAGTGATGGGATTTGCTGGTTCGCCGAACTGGGCAGAATTTCAACAACCGGTTCGCCCAAACCAGCTTAATCTCACCTCTGCTTATAACTGTTCCTCCAACTTGAAAAATCAGGATTATGATTTCAGAGACAGACTTTCTCTTCACTCCCTATTCTTTTGGATCATGCTTCTTTGACTGCCATCTTTCACTAGTGTCCTGAAAAATTCTGTGCTTTAATGGTATTACGATAATCATCTCCTTGATTACAAAAATAACTTTACCATGCAAGCTTCCCTTGCTTGATATACCGATGGATCTTTCTCCAGCAGATTTTTGTAATCTTCTAAAGCTTCATCTAATTTTTCTGTTTTTTCATACAGTTCTGCCCTCCTCAACAATGCTTTGATATAGTTTGGGTTTAACTCTAGAGCTGAAAAACAAAAAAAGAGCAATAATACATCTTACTTGCAGTATTTCTACAAGATACCTGTAAAACCATGCTACAGTATTATTTAACAACTCCATTTCTAAATAGTAAATAGATTAAGCAAATATACACATCAAGGTATGTCCTTAGATGTACATTGTTTAGAACCCAACATTATTATCATACTGACCCTGAATTCATAGGATTAAAAAAAAAGTTTGTCTGCTTTCAGTTTCACGTCATATAAACCAACAATGCAGTTCATAAATTATTTTACCTAATTAATGTTTAATATTCTATGTGAGCCCAGTTCATTGTTATATATTCAACAAACCATAGGTTAGTATATATCTTGGTTAGCAGTGATGGTAATCAATCTGATTTCACTGTTCCTCCTCTGCTCCATTCTATCCTGCCTATTTCCAGTCTCTCTAAACCTGTCCAATTCTTTTCTTCTTTTAAAATCAGATAAATGGAGCCCAATTATTTTCTAGGTACTGTATCTTCCTAGATTCATGCTCAGCTGAAAGCTTCATGAATAATAGACTAATTATTTAGCTTTCTGCTTATTTCAGTCATCATATGCTCTTTGTGTAACCCAAATATTTGAGGGAGGTAGACTTGAAAATTAACAGTGCCATTGATCAGGCTTCATCCTAGTAGATAATAATATCAAATACCTGTCAAATTTCCTATATTCTCTCCCATGTCTAGTCTCTAAACATAATATTCTGACCAAGAGCAAAAGCATGAAAAGAAAATACCTTTGCTGCAGTCACTTATAGCCATTTCTTTCTTGTCCTAAATGAGAGATAACATCGACATTTAATATAAAATATAATTTTTTGACATTCATAACAACTGGGAAAGATAACATGGTAACATAAAAACTTTATATGCTCAGCTTCTACATTCAGAACTACGGGACAAAAAGTCAGTGAAACTAGAGGCTAAGAAAGGTATTCTTTTTATCTGTAGGCCGGCTAACCTACTCTTAGTTTCCATTTATAGAAAATAAAACAAATAGCAATAGCACTTAGACTTATATACTGCTCCAGTGCTTTATAGCACTCTCTGAGTGGTTTACATTAGGATATTGCTCTCAACAATCTGGCTCTTCTTTTTATTGACCTTGGAAGTATGGAAGACTTGAGGCGGTCAAGATCGAACTCCTGGGTGTAGGTAGAGTTAGCCTGCAATCCTGCATGCTAACCACTGCACCACTGCATTTTAACTACTGTGCCACCAGGTCAGGTAATAAAAGATACAACGTAATTAATATCAATAAGCCTTGAGTCCAAAAATTTTATAACCACCTTCAATGTATGCAAGAAGAGGTTTTCAACTCTTGAAACTGTTGATATGGTGAGTGAAGCAAATACACACACATACACACACACACGTTGGCCATTTTGGGACAAGCCTCCATCAGATTTTTCCAGGGATCATACCAGAGAGAAGGGGAGAAGAGCTGACAGAAAACCTTTTCCCTAAGTTAGCAACATCCAGACCTCATTCACCATCTGTCCTAAACATGTCCAACAGGAAGGGCACTTTTCCCAGCATACTGACTAGGGAATTCTGGGAGCAGAAGTCTGAAAGTTGCCAGATTGAAAAAAGTTGCTATAGCAAAAACTCTTTCCCAGCATTCCTTTCAAGTGAGAGTTGAGATATGGCAATGGACACAGCTTCAGAGGAAAGCTGGTCAATTAGCAAGTGCTTGGCAATACTCTCACTCTACTGCAGCAGATCTGTTCAAACTTAGTAAATTTGCACCGCCTTCTGACATGCCAAACCAACTCTCCCCCCCACCCGCCCCCGTGTTATTTCTGCCTGCAACTCCCTGCACATAAAAATTCTGACAAAACTAATCACTTTACAATCTTGGAAATTAGTATTACCTGTTTCATTCGTGCTGCAGCTCTATTTGAATACAAAATGGATCTATCTGTGTTACAGGAGGCCGGACAAACCTGCAGTGCTTTTGCATACGAATCTTCTGCTTCTTTATACTCTGAAGTTAGGGCAGAAAAAAAAAACTGAAATTGAAAAAAAACTGAAAAAGACAAAACAATGCAGGATATTTATATATTTATATATTTTTAATATTTTTTCATTTAAAAATAATAACAGAAAAAGGTTAAAAAGAAAAAGCAAACATTGCAGAAATATGAAAAAAATTAACCCTAATATGACTATGACTCATTTGTGGAACACAGTATACTTTTCTAGCACACTGTAAATTCAAAACAGTATTTTTTTTTCTTTTTGGAATTAAAAACAAAGCATCAACCCATAACTTTAAAATTAAATTGGATTCAGGATAAGCCAATCTATAAATAGTATCATTCAATTATGAAAAATATTTACATACAAGGAGATTCCCAAGCGAGGGAACGTACAGTATGTTAAGGTTATGCTAACATGAAAATATTGCATAACAGAATTTGGATTTTCTGAGATTATACAGTTATGTTAACATTTAATTTAGATAGCCGGAATATAATTAAAAACTAATAAAGGCTTCTCCTTGTTCTTTATGCTATTCCTATTGTATTTTGTGGGATCTGCAAAAGCAAACAATTTACAAAGCCTCTGGAATTCTAAGTAGGAATACAACGATACTGTTGTCTAAATAATTCAACTTTGTTCTATGCAAGATAGAGTTTGTAGGAGATAACTTCATACACACGACAAAAGGGATGAACTCACTGGCTGAGATTAGGAACTCTACTATTCTGGTTAATGGGATTGACATTTTTGGAATCAGAGCAATTTCTGGAAAAATAACAGCAGCAATAGATTTTTTAATCACCATTAAAACTGATTTCAATATACTGGGAAATGTACATTGAGCTTAGATTGTCTTACTGATAATATTAATATGCAAAATACACCCATTTTCCAGGAAAGAAAATCTTCAATTAGTGAACATCTTCCGTCTGCAACTTTTCTAATAAAGGATGCACACAATTTACATACTGCATATCTTCTTTAATTTCTTTTCTTGGCACTTCAGTGAAAAATAAAGAGAAGCACAGTGACTCACAACGTTAAGACACTGTGCTGACAATTGGCAATTTGTGTTCGGGATCTGGTTGCTGCCATGGGATGGGGAGAGCTTTTGTCACACGCTGCAGCTCCTGCCAACCCAACAATTACAAAGCAGGTGACTATGAGTAGATAGATGGTTATCACTTCAGAAGGGAACTTAACAGGGACATGAAAAAAGCCCCCAACCATTGTTGTCCCCCAGGCAACAATGATGTTACTGTTCAATCTTTTCACCCCAAAAGAATTTCAGTGCTCCCGACATCACTGTAGTAGTGAAAAATAAGAAAAACCAGCTTATATCTGAAACTGTACAGAGGTGTGGAAGAGACCAAAAGTATTCATTGTCCTTCCTTCCAAATCTCAGCAGAACAACAATCCTAAACTACACTATACATTGACAGTTTGGTTAATCCATGAACCAACAGATCCTGCAACAGTAAGCAACAATTAGATAATAAACATAGCATAGGTGTGCTTTCTGCATTAAAACTGTCAATTCTTTTCTTATTTCTTGGTTTATTTTCCCTTTGTAGAATGATTTTGGACAATTGTTTATGGAATTAAAAAATATTGATAAAATGCAAGACCACACATAAAAAATCTTGGTTTAAAAGGACCAATTGAGATAAGAATATCCTTTTGGTGCTGAAAGGCATTACATAGGAATATACAGTATGTGTGTGAGCATTAATTGCAAAAAATATAGGTGTCGTTTTAAACAACTCCCAGACCTGGAGTTTGATGAAAGGATGAAAAATAGCATTGAGGTGGAAAATGTCTGTTTCTCTTCCTCAGAATCAAAATACATCCCAGTGTTAATCATTAATAATCAAAATAAATATTACTAAACATAAAACTGTACTTTCCTTCCAGAGTTTCAGCCACAGCCACATGATATAATAGTCTCCAAGACAAATGCATAAGGAGTCTGTAATAGTAGGCCCTGCCATTCTGAAATACTGACAAAGAACTGCATGTGTGAAAGGGCTTCAAGGCAATAAAGAAAAGCCAGTTAGGAAAGTGGGTTAGAATAGGAGCCAAGGAGAGGATTTGATAACAACCAAGAACTCAATTCTAGCCAAGAGAACGTTGGCTCTTTATTATGGTTTTGTTTTATTTGCTATCTTCAGGTGGCATGTATCTTTTTCCTCAAGAAAAACTCAGGTAGACACTAATATGCAAGAACACTAATTTTTAAGGTGGTAAATACAGCATGTTTCAGCAACTGGCTAGACTAGTGTGGGCTTAGCAGCTAAACCGAGCCAGGCCTGATTAGTATTTGCAGAGGTACTATCCCCAAATCCCAGAGCTGAAAATTAGTCTGAGTAATTTAAAAAGCATCCAGAAAGAAAACAAGAGCAAATTATTTCTAGTACTGTTGTCTGGCCTAGAGGAATGTTGTCCATGGTGTCACAATGGGTCGGACATAACTTCACAACTAGCAACAATACTGTTGTGAAGAATCATGTGGTCTCCAAGACTGAATTTCTACCTTTATCTAAGCAAAACATCCAGGAAACTGAACTCTGCAAATCTAAACAGAAGCAGATAGTCTTCTGATAAAGTAGTCTTCCGGAGAAGAACACCTGAAAACCTTCCTGAAAAATACACCCAACATCACTCCTTCCTAAAGAGTCTTCCCAATTCTTGGAATTGATTTTTTTCTCCTTATTTCTTTTCAGAAATTATTATTGCCTTTACTACTTTCTTCTACCTTTGTTACAAAATATGCCAAGAAACATTGCCGAGATGCTTTTCTATTTAGGCTCTTGTTTTATTGCAAACACTTTCAACGGATTTTGTTACCTTGCTGTTTATCACATCTCTTATGTTTATGTAGAATTCCTCTGATACAGTATCATTCTCGGTTGAATAGAATAAGAATAATAGAATAGAATACTTTATTAGCCAATGGTGATTGGACACCCAAGGAGTTTGTCTTTGGTGCATAAAAGAAAAAATAAAACTCATCAAGAATCATAAAGATGTGCAATGTTAATGTGTATTTGAAGCTTGTGCTTTGTTTTTTCTTTCAAAACCCAACTATCATTCACAGAGGTTTTTCTGCAGTCTTTTGGAATACCTTAAGTAAGATTTTCATTAAGTGCTTATGAGTCAGTATCTCAGGTTCCTATGTTTAACGGGTATACCTAAGTGGATACATGAATGGATTATAAACAAAGATACAGGTAGTCCTCTACTTACAACCACAAAAGGGACTGGAAAATTCATCTGTAAGTGGTGAGGTCGTAAAGCAAGATGTCATGTGAGCAGCTCCTGCCAACTTCCCCCTTGATCTTGCTTGTTAGAAGCCACCTGGGAAGGTTGCAAATGACTGCAGGAGGCTGCAACTGCCGTAAGCGCAAGGACTGTACAAAACTCATTTTTAAGCACCTTTGTAACTTCAAGCGGTCACTAAATGAATGGTCATAAATCAAGAACTACCTGTACTTTCTAAAACGCACCAGGCTTTCATAAAGTATAATGTCAATAAAATCCTATTCTTGCCTTTACACCAGTGGTTCTCAAATGGTGATTCTCAGGAGACATTACATTCTTCAAAATGTTTGAGGATCCCAAAGAGCTTTACTTTATGTGAGCTATATCTATTAATATGTATTATATTAGAAATTAAAACTGAGAAATATTAAAACCCTGATTTGATTTCTTCGGTCCCCAAGCAACACTGTGACAGCCACTGCTCTCAAAGATGGTTCACAGTTATTATTATGATTGATTATATGCCATGAAGTCATTTCTGACTCCTAGCAACCACATAAATAGACTTTCTTCATGAGAGTCTATCATTCCCATAATTATGCCAAGCACACATTTTAAAAAGTACCGAGACCAGGAAAAAAATTGTGGGCAACCATAGTAACAGATTCATTTACAAAGGGCCAATTCTTATATAACCAAAACAGCACCACTCAAGAACCAAAATAGGATGTGAACAATTTGAAACCATCAAGTACTGTATTTCCTTGATTTGTTATTTCAGACTAGCTTTGCTGTTCTCTCTCCCTCCCTCCCTCTCTCTCTCTCTCTCTCTCTCACACACACACACACACACACACACATATTATGGGGGAGGGAACAAACAAGTAGGTGCAGAAAAAAGAGTAAGAAAGAATAAATCAAAGAAATTGACTCAAGGCAAGAAGAAAAAAGGAAATACAGCCAAATCTAATTTACTTCAACACCATTCACTAACCTGTCATCTTTTATTCCTGCAATCAGGCCTTGCTTCCATTATGTCCATATACTGTGTTACCCATTGATTTTTATTGTTTAAATTTCCCACTTTTCTCTTTTTCAGGATCACATTAACTCCATCTAACTGCAATTTTTGTGATCCTTCCCTAGCTCTTGACCCCTGCGTTATTTAATTTTATTAATTCTTTCAAAACACCTAACACTTTTATGTTCAATCCACATTCATTCACATCATTAATGCTTGACACTCACTTTTTGTTTTATCACATAGTTTTTCAGTATTCAACTCCCACTGTATTCTGTACATTTTCCTGACATACCCAACTCTTGCTTCCTTTGGCAAATGTTAATTTCTTACAACAGGCTACCTACTATCCATTGCCTACCATCATTTGAACATTTCTCCATCCATTATCCTACCTTTAGTAAGAAGTGTATCAATGTATGAAAATTGTTATCATTTTCTCCCATTTATGTACAATTAGCCATTTTTTTACCCAATTTTGTTCAGCAAGCCATCATTATCTTACTTTTTGATACATTAATTTTGAGGACCATATTCCTCTTGAGTCATAGAATCAATCAGCATTTGTTACAAAAGAAGTTGGGTTCTTAGCCAACAATTCAGCATTGTCTATATACAAAAATGCACGCATATTTGTATTCCCAGCCAACACAGCTCATTGTTCCCACAAGCATTCCTTATTCAGCCATAAACACATAAACAACCAAGGGGAAAATATATAATCTTAGCTCCCTTCAAATAAACTATTTGGCAAACATTTATTCTCATGTGTGTTTTGCTTCCATCTACAGCATTCAACAACTGACCCTCAACTCCCATTATTTGTGAAAGCATTCCAAAGATCAAGCCTATTTATCTTACTCTCTCTCCAAATCAATAAATGAACAATAAACTTGTTTTCTCACATTCATATTTTTGCAGTGACCTTGGTTCTATAAGAAAGATGCATAGGAAGATATATTATGTAAGGGAGGATAAAATATATTCTACTTGGGTGGAAGTGGAATAGCCTTGTATTTCTTTAGAAGCAGTCTACTATATTTCTGTATTTCTATACAAATGCACACTATACATATATTCAATACATATATTAACATATGTCTAATGGTTAAGACACTAGACTAGAAACTGGGAGGTTGTGATTCCTAGTCCTGCCTTAGGTATGGAACACCGTCTGGGTGACTTTCAGCCAATCACTATTAGCCCAATCCACCTCATAGGGTTATTGCTGTGAGGAAAACAGGAGGAAGGAATATTATGTATTGAGCCAATTTGAGTTACTTATAAAAATAAAAAAAGGTGGGATGCAAATGCATAAATAAAAATTATTTATAGATCATAAAAATTGAGATTAATAACTGAAAACTCTTGTTTTTTTATCACAATATCTACTGCTAATTAATTAAAATATAAGCAACAACTTATAAGATAGCTCCTTAAAAATATCCAATGGCATGGCCATAGTGAGAGCATCAGAAACTAACTATTTATTCTATATATGGACGGCAAAAAATCAAAGACAAAGTAAGAAAATTTACAGTAGATAGGAAGAATGCATTATCCATTATCTTCTGGGAAAGAACTGACCACCCTATCAACTAATATCTCTGTAATTTATAAGGTATTCAACCTGTTCTCAAGAATATGAAAGATTATATCATAAACTAATATTATACAGGATCAAGAGCAGGAGACATATGATAAAGACTCCAAGGATCTTCCAAACAAAGAACAGAGGCCATGATGCCATCATGGCCATGTTATAAGAGCAGTCATAGGAGCAATAAGGTCTAAAAAACAAGCACTTTTAATGCCAAGAATCTGCCAATTCTTAGACTTCATTTTTGAAGTTGAACCTAATTTGAAAAAGTTCAGTAGACTTAGGTATTGAAGAATCCAGAAACACTAAAATCCAGACTGGACATACAATTGGCCACAGAAGAATTCAAGGTTCCAGTGAAGATAAAGGAAATGATGACACTGCTGCCCTTTTTCCATTTTCCTCAGGTAGAAGAGAGGTTTCTTTTTTTGACTCTCTCAGTTCCAGAACATGATATTTATGTAGAATCACCTGTGCTGTAATAATTCCTAGATTAAGATGGTTAACTCAGCATAACCCTCAAAGTAGCTGAGATATTTGTGAAGAGCCAATTAACTGTTCTGCCAAGGGCAGAGGCCTTCAGCCAATGGAAGCCAAAGGAAGGCCAATTGTTGTAAGGTCAAAAAGCACACACTCCGCAGAGCATGTTGAAAGCTGCTGATCATTCATGAGGCTTTCTTCTTCCTCCTCCCTTCCTCCTCCCTCCAATTGTCTTCTTGCAAAGCACTCCTACAAAACTCTCCAGGGGTGTTTTTGGTACACTTTGCAATGCATGCTATTGACCATTTGTCTTCTTCTTTCTGCAAAACATTCCTCCTGCAGAGCACTTTGCCGGAGGAAGGAGAAAACCTCACAAATGGCTAGCAGCTTCCAACATGTACTGCAGAGTGCACACCAGAAGTGCCCTTGGAGGGATTTGCAGAAGTGCTTTTGTAGGAGGAAGAAGACAGCCCAAACAACAACCAGCAGCTTTCAATGTGCAGAATGTGCACCAGAAATGTCCACAGGCTCTCTTGAAAGACAGCAAAAGCAGTGAAATAAGGCTCTTCAGTCACCACAGCTGGGCGCAAAAAGGCAAAAGGTCAGAGCTGGGAAATGTGGCAATTGGGCAAATGAACGCTTGATGAGGTTTGTTGGGGCTTCCGGGGCACTGCAGCTTAGTGCCACCTTCCAAGGGCAGGCTGGGGTGCTGAGGCTTGCAGATGCCAATGGGCAGAGATGGGTGTCAGACAGGCAGCTTGGGGGAGCTGGAGACACTTCCTTATCTTACTTAGGCTTGAGGCTGGGAGGAACCAAGCCCAGAAGGGTTTGGATTTGGATGGGCACTCACTAAGCAACCCATGATTCTTGGTTAACAATGGCAACAGTCACTAATGGATGCAGCCACATGACATCTCACTTTATGACATTGCTTAGCAACAGAAAGTCCAGTCCCGTTTATGGTTGTAAGTCAAGGACTACCTAGACTGGGAAAAGCAACTAGGAGAAAATCCAATAACAATGTGCTTTCTTTTCAGAATCACCTTAGTTATAGCAAATTGCCAATCAACATAAACCCAGGTCCCGTAAGTCTGATGCACAAAGGATATTTTTCAACCATTTTAAGACAAAAACTTGGAACCATCACTGAAAGATTATGCCCAGGAAACCTGTAAGTGTTAACAGCTGGCAAAAAAAATTCAAGTTTATCTCTACCAAGACGTGGCTCTCATTGAATCTAACAATCCTAACATCTAAATGCAAGCAACCTTGTAGCTTTTTTCCAACATAGGATGTTTTTCATCAACATAACAGGAGGAAAATTATTATCATCCTCTATCACGTCCCACCTCCAAGCCAAAATTGCACTGGATTAATGTGGCAAGTTTGAAACTGATAAAGCGTCCTTAACCCTACATCCTTAAGTTACAGAGCCTTAAGGTAATTTCTAAATACTATGGTAAAATCTTATATTGAAATGAATTCTATATAGCCCAAAGATAGCTAGTTAAAAATAAGACTAGATAAATTCTTTGAGGGTTTCCTTGATTACTATGTAGTCTTGCACTACCAGATGTCCAGATCTGTTGGATTCTTATGGGCCATACTGACTGGGATAGATATTCTGGTAGAATTATTCTGCACACCTTAGAATCTGTCTTTAGGCAGCATTTGGAGGCCCAAACACTAATAAAAGTTTGAGTATTATCATAAGCCATTTGCTTACCTCCATTTTTAAACTGTTTATTTCCTTCTTCTTTTAATGTTGTGCTTTCATTTCTTCTTTTCTACAACAGAAATGTTTGAATAATTAACATTTGATAGCACTGTCTGAAATTAAAATTTCCATGACATATAGCAAACACTACCAAGTTTTTTATTAATATCTTACCTCCCTTCTTTATGGTTATTTTTCAAAATTCATAGGAAGCATACTTCAAAAATTTAGATGGCATCTCCTAACTGGTACTACTACCAGATTTTATTACTTAAAAGTCTGGAAATGAATAATTTACTAGTGATATCTAGAGGTAAACTATAACCATATTAATGTTTTAAAAAATTTAAGAACCAACTGGTATCTAATAATACGAATTGCCCAGACACAATTCAGGCTAGTTCCCAAGCCTAAAGATAGATAATTTTGTACAGAATAGATACATATGAAAAGCACTTTTATTTTATAAGACTTTATAAAGGTTTGTAAATAAGATTTTATAAGCCACAATAAACAGTAAAAATAACAAAAGAATCAAAACCATAAACTAAAAACTGTGGAACCCTGGGCTGGCTCATTCAAACCCTGACAACCCCCAGGGCAGTGGGCCAGCATTGGGGGACAGTGTTGCTTGGCCAGCCAGGGGTAGAAATGTGTAACTAAGTATCATCGGCATATTAATACCGCACCTTGCACTGTTGGATTACTCTTCCATATATCTCGTGTAAATATTAAAAAGAAGGGATGACACACACAAGCCCTGAGACACCCCATATTGTGGATTTAGTCATGCAACTCCAACCCTTAACCCCAAAATCTAGCCACAACCTAAAATATGACTTCATACATATAAACAAGTTTTAAAAAACAATTGTTAGTATTCCTATCTCACTTCTAGCTCTGTGAATAGCAGTCAATCAACGTTTGTACAAAAATAAATGTTATTTGCTACCAGTCTCAAGTACTTCTCAGTCTCCAACTCTTGATAAAAATTACATGAATAATTTATGAAACCACCACTTAATCAATAGCTAAACTGGAAAAGAGGTTTGAAGACTGGAAGTTGTACAGTCCCCATTGTGTGTACCTTTGTTTCTCAATTTTTCACAAGACCTAGCTTCTCAGTTCCACTTCCCTTCACCTCCTAATCCCCTCACTCTTTTTATAGCTTAGTTCTAATTAATCTAAACGTATTCTCTATCCCAATTTCTCTCTAGCACACAACCCTCCCAGGGTCCTTTTCTCCTTACATCCATGATTGCCAGACTCCAGTCCTTAATAATATTGGCTATGTTGCAAATTTGTTTCCTTGATCAGGTGTTATGACATCACAAGAACTCAAGTGGTTTCAAGGCAACAGTCTATTCCTGTACCATGGATATAACTAATACAGACCTTGGGTCCTGTTTTAATAGAGCACAGTAAGACAACCCACATCTAACACTGCTATCAAAATATTGATAATCATCTATAACATCAAATAGTTAGGCTGATTTTAATTTTAAAAATAGACTGCTTCAAATGCATTCAATTACACTAACTTTCCACATTTCTACATTTGAATTTCCAAGTACATTAATTTTAACAATGCTGCAAACTATATCAATACTGCAAGCTATATCAATGTTTCCTTTTAGAAGGTCAACAGCAAAAATATTTAATCCCACCCTCAAACAATACAGTATCCAATTAATGAAAATTAAGCTAAAGTACATATTGAGAGGGTCAAAATTTAAGAGTCAAGGAAGATATTCAAAGGGTAAAAAATGGAGTTTTGTTCAGTAATACAGTATTGTTTATTTCTCCCATTTTTATATTAATTCAGAATTAATACAAATTGAATAAACCCCAGAATAATCTTTCATTTCAAACATACTAAACTACAATTCATATCATTTCCACCTAACAACATAGCTAATATATCTGGAAGGAAGATGGAGATTATCAGTTCAGGAAATAGCAGATTCAACAGTCAGTTTTAACATTTGCCTAACTTCTCAGTAACAAAAAGATTAGACAAAGCAAATCTCTACAAGGTTTTTATTGTATATATATTTCATGCGTGTCTTTAGCCTCTTCAGATGTAAGCTATAAGCTGACTGGACAAGCTTAAATGGAAAATTCCAAGCTTATGTACATATTTTGCTGAATCACACATTCTTTTTCCTCACATGGAAAATTAGCTCTCTGCACACAAGTAGTTCAATTCTATCTGCAGCAAGAACTTTAAACAATGCTTCCTCTATGCTTTAATTCTTAGAAACTGGATTTCATTAAATAAAAAATAGAAAATAATCTCTCATCAGCGTGGGAATTTAAAACTGTAAGAGAATAATATTGCTGCTTCTGTTAAATGAGAAACATACTGCAACAAAATGCTTAAATACTATACCTGTGGACATTCTTAAAGCTAAACAAAGCTTAAAAAAAACCTGAATCTAGAAAATTAAGCTGCAAACAGGTCCTATTACTTGAAAGCATTATGGTTAGCACTTCAATGAGGCTATTCTCACTTCAAAAGCAGCCTTCTGTACAACGGACTAGTACAATGACTCCAACCACCAATATCATTTCATATTATTTCATCCAGCTCATTTTTAAAAGTCCATGAGACTTGGATTTCTTACATTTGAAATCCAAGAAAAACACAGACTGCATTCAGCTCTGCACACCGCCCATTTCAGATTTAGAGAATGACAAGCAAAATGTAATACATGGAACTGAAATATACAGAAGGCAAGCAAAACTCATAAAGATTGTGATAAGAAAAAAAACCATGATACAGGACACTTAAACTTATGAAAAAATAATGACAAAGCTTGCAATTATACACAACAGGATCTGAAATAATTACGTATGAACCAGAAAGAAAGGGAGAAGAGACGACAGAGTGCTGATCCAGTATTTATCCCCAAAATGCCACATATTAAAATATTTAATGTCTTTACAAATTAACTAAGAAGCAGATTCCATGAAGCTCTATGGGAACTATTCTGAATAAATATGAAAATAGGCTGCAAATTCTATTACAAATTCATTTTGAAAGAAAATCTGTACTGAACAAGGAATGTTTAACAGCCTAGATATCAGCATTCCAAATATAAATACAGAAACATTTTTGTTGCAAACTGCAATTATTTCCAAGCAAGTATATACAGTCACAGGAATAGTAAACAGCTATTCACTAGTATTTTTAAAAAAATATTTGCACCTTTAAAACATACCTCTTTTTCTTCCTCTGACATGTTTTTTTCCCGTTCCAGCAATTCTTTTTCATCTAGATCGATCTCATTTTCTAAAGAATCTGTCTCAATGTTGTGATTCTCTTCCACCACTCTTGATTCGAGAGAGTCTTTGCAGTCATGGAAGAGATCATCATCCTCTCTACCCAAGTCAGACAACTGACTCACATCTTCTTTAACGACTCTGGGGATATATGCATGATGTGTAGGACTGCTCTGTTTTTCTGAGAGATTCAAATCCTCAATTAATTTTTCAGGAGCAACAGCATCTTCAGACTCCATGCCGAACCTGCAATGCAAGACAAATAAATTACACAAGGCAGTAACTTTCTCAGTATCATTAAAGAAGGATAGAAACATATTTCTTTAAAAAAAGAGATGGAGAATTTTGTAACAACTGATTTTTAATGGTAAACATATTTACCATTTTTTTTTGTTTCACCCAGAAAACCCTATAAGAATATTTATCTATTTCAAGGCATAATTTGGGGGCAGGTTAAATGATAAAATGATCTATACATATTTCAATATTGAAAAAAAGTCTAATTATTTTACATGTGGCACTATTAATCATAATAAATGAACTCAACATCAAATGGCACAAAGTTAACCAAAGAACAAATTAACTCTCTTTTGCTTCTGTGTATCTGACAGGAAATTATCACTAACTGCAACTATTTTCAAGAAAAATATTAAACTGTAAAGAACTAGATTGGTTTTATTTGCAAGATACCTGTACCACACTTATCCCTATTTAGCAAAGCCTATGCAATACCAACTATACTGTAAGTACATTATTAAATTATGTGCAAAATCAGAAAAGAGATCATTGAGAAGACCATGCTTTAGTTAACCATTGGCAAGCAAGTTGCCTTCAGTCAGATGATGCTGGAGCAACCCACTGCTCTAAATGCCATTAGTTTTTTTGCAGTCTCATACAAGACATTTCCAAACCATGTTCTTTATTGTGCAGTACTGGAGATACCAGGAATTTAAAATTTGGCAGTTTTATCATTTAAAGAGTGGCCCTCACCAATTAATTGTTTATTTAACAGAGACATAATTCAAGATTTCCCGCCCCCCAAAAGTTTAACCTCACTTTTACCCTCCCTCCCAATACACACACGCATATGCTACTCTCTAATCTGAATCCAGTAGTTTCCATTTCTAAGTAACAAGCCCGACCTAAACTGCACAGAGTGGGTACCAGAAGTGCAGCACCTTTGCCAGCTGATCCCACGATCTTTTAACCGAGATACAAAACCACGCGACTGGAAATCAAGAAAAGCCAAGCCTCCAGCCCTCTTTCATAGTGCAATTCAATGCACAGAATATTAAACGCCCTGGACATATTCAAAACAGGAACCATGCCTTCCTCCCACAGCATTTTCCAATGCCTGTCTGGAAGGAAAGCATTATCACTAAAAAATATCGAATTCTCTGGCAAGCTGCTCGGGGTCGTACGCTTTTCCAAACCAGACTGGGACACCTCCTCCCCTTCTTCCCTATCCCTCTGCTTGCCTGATCCTACCAGGTCTCTAACTTTTCCCCCTCATCAGCAGCTTCCTCGAGCTCCAACCCCGCGCCCGCACAAGCAGGCCCCTTCACCTCGCGCCCCCGCCCTGCCGACCTGACTTCTTGCGAACTTCTTCCTGCAACTTGGTCTCCCGAAACACGCCACTTCCGGTTTCCGGGCCAAGCCGATTAATAGACGTAAATAGCTCGGCGGCACAGAAAGGGGCTCCAGTCAAACGTCTCCGGACGAACAGCCCGACGATGACGTCGCATGTCAATCATGGGAAGAACCAATTGCTGCAGGCGAGGCGGGATGTTGGAAACAGGAGCAGAAAACCAAGGCTTTTTTATTTGGTCCTGGAGTGACTTTCATGCTGTTTATTCCAGATTTGATTCGTCTATATTGTTGCATCCTACATTAAGTGATTTATTCAATGGATCAATCCGGAATGATCATTACGATCACTGCTCCGCCCAGACCAAAGTCATTCAAGGGAAACGTCTGAAGCGAGAGGCTGAGATTTGTTATTTTTTCTTCTCGTTTTCATTTGCCTGGAGTTTCCTCTGCTGGGTTTTGTATTTCTGACCATATGCAGAGTGTTTTTCTCCCCTGCAATCGTCTATTAATAAAATCTTCACTATCAGTCTTCTATTGCCTTTTCTAGCTACTTCTGCTGACTGCGGCTGTCTGCAATTTGGCAGCTCGATTCTCGTCATGCACAAGGTTGACTCAGCCTTCCATCCTTCCGAGGTCGGTAAAAGAGGACGCAGATTGTTGGGGAGTCAATATGCTGACTCTGTAAATGGCTTAGAGAGGGCTGTAAAGCACTGTAAAGCAGTATATAAGTCTAATGCTATTGCTAAGGCGCTATTGCTACTTGGCTGGGAATAATTCTGTGATGAAACCAGGCAATTGAATTTCCAGCTACTTTGCCTGTAGCAAAGCTACTAAGCCTTCCTACTTTAAGAATAGCTTTACTAGTGGTAGTCTGACATAAAACAACAGTCTGTGCACTGTCCATATCAAACATTTGGGTGTATTGTACCATCTGATTGAAAAGCAAGATTAATATAAGAAATATTTTTTACAAGGCCACTCAGAGTCTTCCTCTTATAGGTAAGCCCTAATCTATCAGGTCACAGCAGGTGGCTGCACTTAGGTGACTGGCTAATCAGGATCAACTCTGGCTAGTGTTTAAATGAGAGTCCTTCAGAAAATCTCCGTGCTATAGCTTAGGAAACTTGAAAAATACTTCTGAAAGAAGGTGGCATCAAATGATTTTTGTTGCCGAGCAGACTAGATTAACACAATAGACCTGAAATGCATAAATCCAGCTGGCAGCAATGTGATTTAGCACACCTCTAATTTTCTGCAGCCATTTAATGGTCATCTTGGACAGTTGCTACCTCCCTCTGCTAGCCCTATTAGGTAAAATGCTCCTTGACTTGAAAATGAGGGTGGAAGAGTTGCTATTAACAGTTTTGCTTCAAGTCAGAGCAAGTGCTTCTCTGCTTCACAACTTTGCTAAGTAGACTTCAACTCCCAATTCATCCATCTTAAAGTTGCCAAGCTTGAGAAATGGCAGGTTAGAGCAGCACTGTCACACTCTCATCCCATGGGCCAGATGCATCACGCGCTGGCCACGCCCATGCCTGATTTAGCGAAGGGGGGAAAAGTTGTGATGCATCACATGCCGCCGTGACGATGTGAGTTTGACACCCCTGAGTTATAGGATAGGAGTAATTTATTCCCCTCTCTCCTTAATATAATTATTCTGAATAGCTTACAGACTGTATAAACTAAACTGAAAATAACCACAATGAGGCTCAAAACAACCATAAATAATCATTGTCACACAAGCTCTCACATAAGGACAGAAAAACAACAAATAAATGAATAAAATAAACAGAAAGTAAGATGGTAATAGGCATAATGCAGAGACTCAAGGAAAGATCCTCCAGATCAACAGATATCTTGAACTGAGACAGCCTAGAACTTTCTCAATGTATCTTGAGAACATTGATGCCCTTAAAAAAAGAAAGATAAAAAGCAGTAATATGCTAGCCCTTAGACAGAGCAATGTCCACAAATCACTAAGCCATGGTTTATAAGGTACAGATTAAATCAGATGGACTACAACATTCTAAACCAAAATACATATGTTCATAGATCATGATGGCTGGGTACATACAACACATTAAGCCAAAGCCAACAAACTATGCTTTAACCAAACATTGTTTATCCAGCTCATGTGAAAGGGTAACTAGAGAAGATGCTTGTCCTTGCTTTTAAAAGATAATAGATGTAGGGTTTAAAGGGGTGGCCTAGAATTGGGGATAACCAAATTCAATCCACTGTATTATGAAAGTATGTAGGTCTCACTAACAGATGAAGATGTCTATACTGCTGTTGTGTGAATAAAAGGAGAATGGAAGCATAAATGTTATTTTGCACCCTAGAGAAGTTGAGGTAGAAATGTGTAATTGCCAAATAAAAACAGAGTAAAACAATATTTTATTAAAAGTTGTACTTCCTGGCTTCCTCTAGGTAGACAAAAGCCAGACTGTTGCATTTACCCATAAACTATGCTGAGGTACCAAATTTATAGGCAGTGGTGGAGCCAGTGCACACAGAGGCCTGCTGAATCTATCTTATAGCTTTAGAATGACCTAGAAACTGGCCTAAGCTTCTTTAAGCCTTTCCAAAAGAGACATCATTCAATATCCTTTTAGGACAGTTGTCATCTGTACAGTTACCATTGGAGGAAATGCATTGAAGATGCAAAGTTGCAATTGAGTAAATGCATACATAAATGTATCGTACACCTTAAGACTACATCAGTAACTGATTCTTATATTGTAACATAGCATACAGAACAAGAAGCATGTTTAACTCCTCTATCACAAAGTAAATGATCTGATACTGAGCTGCAAATCTTGGCAATTCACTCAATTTCTCCAAGTAAACAATTTGTTCCTTTTCCTTTAGATATTTGGAACTGCTGTCATGTCATTCATGTCTATTTGTTTTCTGTAAAAATGAACAGTCTTTAATTGCATTTCTTGTGCTTCATGATCTAACTCTTAGTCATCTTTGTTTTTTCTTTTTGGTCTCTCTTTTTTTAAACTTTGAAATGGTGACAGGCTGCATAAACATTTCAAAGCTTTGCAGAACAATATAGCTTCAATTGGCCTCCTGCCTTCTACAGCCCTCTGCTGACTGTACATGCAATCCTTGGTTCATCTTTGTGCCTCAATTATTACCTGTATGATTTCCTACCCATGCTGATTTTTGAAAAATTCTTAAAAGGAATGCATTTTTTTTAATTGTAAGAACCAGATGTCCAATATCTGTCTTGTTCCAATTAAAAGTGCTCACCATCTGCAGTAGACCCAAAAGTACACAAAATATCCTTTTCCTATGAATGAATTTACATATCATAGATCGATAAAATAAATTGTTGATCATTGCAACATGTGGCATATATACATAGACACCATTTTTGACTAAACTCTTCTGTATTTCAGCCACAGATAATTTATACATCTGATTTGTCACTAAGAGATATTTATTCAATCTTACTAAGCTATGATATCATTTGATTTTAGAGTAACATGTTTGAATCCAGTTCATTGTGGTAGCCATAAATTTTCAACAAACCCTAGTTACTGGACAATATCTTATTGCAGTATGTGATCCAGCCCATATATTTCTGGAAACTAAGATAAGGTCAAAGCTGGCTTTTAGATGTATTAAGAGTGCAAGTTTCTTAACTTAAAAAAATAGACACCCTTCCCAATAAAAATATACTTCCATAGAGAGCCCAAGTTACTTAGACATATGTGGTTCATTAGTTCTTAATAGTTTTGAAAATGTAAAGATGATTAAATATGCCAGTACAGATGGATGAATTTTAAAATTCTGAAGTAAAGGAAATAATTGTGACATGCAGTACAGTAAGTTATTGTTTAAAGGAGCTCCTAGTTTACTTGGCCATCTGGGCTAACTACATTTGGGATATAAATTGTATTTTGACCTCACCACAGTTTTGGTTGAAATCCTTTTAAAATAATTTACATTCTCACAAGGGAGAGGGAGGAAAACCCTTTTTGTAATGTTGGAAGAATTGACCTTCTGGGTTCAGTTCCAAGTGGGGAAAAAGACACTGGAAACATGGAGGCTGTTTGGAAGGTTTAATGGTGGACAGGAGGACCACATGGCCTGGAGCTCCAGAGTGAAAAGGAAGGATGATCACATGCTTCAAGGTGAAGGAAGAGATCAAGAAGGGCTGATATGCTGAGAGTGGCTGGGTTTTATAACCTTTGTTGGGATTTGAATTGGAGTTTGTATTCTGATTGGTTGTCAGGGACCATGCGGGGGCAACTCTGTAGGCTGTCCTGAGCTCCAGGCTTGGTTGAGCCTTGCTGGATGATGATGCACTGAAAAGGGCTTTTGAGCAATTGCTATAGCTTTACCTGGAGATCTTTGTTATGTAAAGTATTCTGGCCCAGGCCTTAATGGCCCACCCATTAACAAAAGTGGTGGTGGGGGGAGCTTCTACTTCTGAGGTGAGTTTCTGCTTCTGAGTTTCTACTCTTTTTAGGGGAAATATTCTGCCTTTTTAAATATTTCCTAGGATATTTCAATTTTCTAGGAGAGGTGTGGGTGCTAACTTCCTACAATAGAAAGGAATAAAATATTACTAACATAAATTTATTATCTGCATAAAATAACATAATTCTCATACTACATTAAGCCATAATTGGGTTAACTGTGGTTTGCTACATAAACCAAATTTACACAGCATGCTAAATTTTCAGCTCACACATCAATGGACTAAGATCGTACAATATGGTAACTGAAAATAAGCAAAGCATATTATCTCTTAAGAGCTTATGTGACTCATAAGATGGGGGACCACTAAGGGAGTATGGTGTCATGGTCAAAGCAAAAAGACTTCCCTCAGCTATGGAACCATGTTAGGGACTTTACTAATAATTCTTTAATTCTTTAATCGTTCTCTCAGCACCACCACCACCCGCCATTTTCATGGTGGTTTTTCTTGAGGAGACAAATAGAAGGAGAGTGCGCTAAATATGCCCTCTTGAGTTTCTGAAGGAATGATAAATAAATAAATATATATATTTTACTTAATGAACAAACCACAGCTGGCTCTATTCACACACTAGTTTCTTGATTTTGGTTTAAATACATTATGTGAACTCAAACAATTTACAATAGCTTGTCTTAATTTATGAACTTGGCCTTAGGTATTGCACCCACCTAATCTCATGTAAGACTAGTTATTCTACATATATCTGTATAATCATCAGAAGCTGATATTAATTGATGGCTAAATATAGAATAGGAGTCATACATTTTGCTAACCCATGATTTAACAATAGTATAACAAGCCACAATTAGCTTGATTCACACAGCCAAAAGTCTTTGAAATATTAATCCAAACCACATCTAGTATGAGACATACCATTTGTAATGTTTTAATCCATTATTAAATAAACCTTAGCTCATCATAGTGTGCAGAACCACTAAGTGTCTTCCCTAGTATTGTAAAGGGTTTGTTCAATTTTGTCTTTGTTACATGAATCTGAACATGAACCACGTCAACTAAAGCATAACGAGTTTGCCTTTGCCATTGCATACATTGGCTCAAGGATGGAAACATTACTTTCAACCTGATCCAGTTAAAAACGCTTCAGACATTCTCATCTGTGAGTTAAGGGGCCAAATGAAGATTCCTTGTGGATTGGCAGAAAAAAAAATTCTTCTAGGATACATTTGCATCTTGGTTAGGTGCAAAACGGAGGTGGGTGGAGAGAAGCCCATGTATACTTTGTAATTTATTACATAATTACAAATTCAACATCCCTTTCGTAAGTGATCTTGTAAACTGGGTGGGATTTTCTCTTACTTTTTTCTCTTATATAAAGGACTGTATGTGTATTTGTAATACATGTATTTGTATTGTATTAGTATTAAAGATAATTTTCAGCCCACCTTTTCCAATGTTGAAGAATAGTATCAATATTGATACTATCTTCTGGAGCTGTAAGTTCAATTCAGAAGCCTCCAAAAATGCAAGGGCAAACCATTTTGTATCATGTCAGGAAACCTGTATGGATGTGTAAGTCATCAGGATTTGAGTTTGCTCAAAGGCAGCCAACCTTTTTGACTTCTAAAGTAGTGTAATAAACATTCCCAAAGACAAAGGAGAATCCCCCCCTCCTCTTTGCCTTTTTTTCTTTTAATTTTTATTCCTGGAAATATTAGTCCCCTATGGCGTCCAATTTCTGAAATTACAAAATCTAAAATGTCTGTTACAAATTAAGTTAGATGAAACAATTTAGTTTTCATGGAGGTACTGTTTCTTTGTCTATTTGTCACAAATGGTTTATTTGAATTGAATTAAAGTCTGATTTAGCTTTTTATAATTTGTTTCAAATTCTAATGATTATATTTAATTTTTCTTTAATTCTGGAACTATGTTAAACTCATCAGCTGGCTTTGCAAACTTGTTGTTTTGAATATTTCTGCTAGCCTTCAGATAGCTTAAAAGGTCATTTTTTAAAAATGTGATTAAAAAGTGAGGTTAGCATTCCCAAAGGTTGTGTGTCATAGTTGCAAGTGTGATGACTTTTCTTCATTTTTGCCATTCAGCCCCACGGGAAACCACTATCCTGATTGCTCTTTGTGAGGACCACCCCTGCGTGTGTGTGATCCCCTGTCCTCTCCTTATCCAGAGAGGTTATGTGTGACTGATCTACTAATTTTTGGTTGTGGCCTTGGCATCATCTTTTCTCATTCAGAGTCATCTGGCTCACCATTCCTCACCCAGACATCCTGGGTGGTTGAATGGTTTCTTGTGGCATTGCTGTCAATGCACCCACCTAGAACCTGGCAAAGGAAGGACACTGATGTAATGGCAGCTGTGCTGTTAAATTCCCATTATCTTGACAAACTAAGCGGGGCTGGTGCTGAATGTATAATGTATTTGAATGAGAGACTTAGAGCAAAGCCTAAGGAGGTAGTCTAATAAACATCCCAGAAAAAAATGGCATTTTTTTTCAGGTTGGGGCCAAGAAGCACCCATGAATGCATCCATGAAGTCACTAGGAGTCAGTAGGAGTCAAGCCTATTTACTTTAAAGCAGTAAAATTATCTCTCTACTGCAGACAGTGAAAATAAGGTGATTCTTTAAATGGAATTTACTGTTTGCATTTTGCTTTTTAAATGCACTATATTCTTTTTCATTCAGCCCTGTGAACCATAAGTATTATAATTTATTATGCAGGCAGTAAGAAACATGGTGCTGAATGCCAAGCACCTATGCTGAGCTTGGTAGAAGTAAGACATGAGTTAAGGGGCTGTTGGCCACATCTTAAAGACTCATTTTTATTAAGGGGTTAAGCTGTTGTGGATAACAGCCCGCTTACATATATGTCTTGCGAAATGGTTTGAACTATATTAGACGTGAGTCCTTATTTATTTATTTTTCAGCTGGATCAGCAACTTAAAAACATGAAGGAGCTAATGTCAGCCTCTGATGACGGCTGAGTCAGAACCCAACAGGGTTCATAAAGCCGAATCTCCTATTTCCAGTAGCTGAACTGCATCAGAATGTGTGATGTTCCCTGCTGGCTCAGAGCAAAGGCCAGTCTGGCAGAATTTCTTGCTGGTGAAAGCTGCGCCTCGCATTTTAAAAAGAGGATCATACTGCGAAGGCTCGGAGTTCCAAATTACTGATGGACAAAATAAAAATAGTGGCTCTCTATCTGAAGAGCTGCATAAACCAATACATTAATTTCGTGTGGTTCTGTTGAATGTGCATTGCAAAACACCTAGAACTGTATGATGTGAGAGACAGATAGATGGTAGAAGATAGATAGATAGATAGATAGATAGATAGATAGATAGATAGATAG